ACAAAAAGGGTTATTGAAAATGATCTATTCATCCATCTATATCGTATAGTAAGAATCCTCAATTGAGATCATGTTCATTTTTTTACAATTGAATCAAATAAATACGGTTAGTACATTCCAACAAAAATGATATAGATCAAAAAGAGATAATTTAAAAAGATTATATTTTCTCTTATCCCAAATGCAAGGTGTGCGTTAGAGCTGCGCAGATTGCCAAAGCCTTTGTATCAAAGAACTGTCAAACTTTAGGTAATGCCTTTCGAGTTGACTATAATAACTTGTTTTTGATATAAAATTGCTAAATAAAATATATGTTATATGTTGTTAGGAGCGACGTGTTTGCCTCGTGTTGTAATAACACATATCGTTTAAAATGGAATTCTATATATACTAGTGATTTGTTACGCTTTTTATGTTTTCATCGCAAAACAAACAAGTTAAATGTCACACCCTTAGTTAATATCTAGTTCAATGTTGGAACAATTCGGTGGATTTGAATTCTTGCATATCCAACTAGACATGTATTATTAAAGTGAAGAGAAGCAATGAAAATAGACAAAGAGGTAGACAGATAGAGTCGAATGAATTGGACATATTGGACGAATTAGGGTATTGATGGATGCATAGTCTTGAGCTAAAGACAATGACTTAGCCAAATTTTTGGATACCTTTGGACAAGTGTGGTTCCTACTTCTAGTGGTCCCTTCGATAATTTCCAAACAAAACTTAACTTCTTGGTTCATAATTTCAGTATGGATATTGGATACTCTAGTATTAAGTATGTCTTGTTCCATGTCTCTTAATTTTTGCTCAATTAGTCAAAATATTAAAATCTTATCTATATATACATATAATTACAAATAACTATAGTCTTGGTACATACTTAAATAACTATTTGTATTTTGAATTATCTAGTTAACTATACAAATAACTAAAATAGTGATTATTTATCGTAGTTATTGCGACCATATCTCTTATCATGCTATTTTTCATTTCTATTTACACTCAATGTTATCTTTTAGGGTCTTATTGTTTCTAACTATACTTTCATTTTCCTAGATCTTATCGTTTCTACTTATATCATGTATGAATCATATAGTCGCGAAGGCACAACTTGATTAATTAATTTCAAATGACTTTAGATGATATTAAGACAGACATTTAATTGGGTGTGGGAGGTGGAAATAGAGATAAAGTGTTCGTTTTCTTCATTAGTACAATATCAATTTGTATGGGACCTTCTTAATTACATCGACGTGATGTTAATTTTGGTTAGAGGTTTTTTCTTTGTCCTACTAAGTTTTTTAAATTATATTTTCAACCTTCATCACACAAACACATCAATGTACTATATATACATGGAAATCCACAAGTGCTTTGCTAATAATCGAAACTCGGAAGTAATAGTTACAAACTTTTAAATAGTATACGTAGAATTTATAAAATAACCACATAATAATAACGCAAACATATGTATATAGAATTTATAAAATAACCACATAATAATAACTCAAGCATATGTACATATACTAATTTAAACTCTTATCTTTGTTGTTGTTGTCTTCAAATTTGACTTGTGACTCGTGAGATGCATTGACGAGCTCAAGGAAACGAGTACATTTAACTCAAAGACAACAACCAAAAAACAGTTTGAAAT